AAAAGTAATGGATTTCCAAAAGGGAATGAAAGGGATTACATTTCTGTTAATGAAAGCTTAGGGTACGACAAGACCTACCAGACCTTTATGCCTTAGACCGTAGACCAACTTCAAGCGTGGCACATTCACGTAGCTTAACATATGGCCTGGCAGGCTCCATGCTTTCGAGTGGGACCAACTCGTGAATCGGATGATGTTGTCAGTTCATTGTCTCAGTGGATTAGGTTCATTGGTACCCCCAGGGCGACATTAAACTCCAATTAAATGCGTACTGAATTAAGTGCGTATTGAATTAATTGTTTGCATTAAATCACGAATGTAAATGCAAATCTCTGGCTTGAAATTTCAAGCAGATCCGTGACGATGCCGTGTGCATGGTCAATTCAATGAGAAGCCAGGAAAAGACAATGCATGAGTCGGTTCGGCTGCTTGAAATATTAGCTGAAAGAAAATCTCGACAAGGACATGAAAGATGTCATCCACGTGGCGGGCTTGTGGCGATTCGAGTAGCTATGCTGTGACATCACCGTGACGTAAGAGGTATAGTCTGCTCAAGGAACAGGGAGGGTTGGAGCAGTGGTCCTCAAACTTTTTGAGACGAGGGCCGCACGGATTCTGTGGCCCACATGGAGTGGGCCGCAGTCAGCCTGGAATGGGCCGCATTTAGTAACTAGTATGAGGGTCACTCAATAAGTTATCTACCTGAATAAGAAAGAAACATCCGAGGGGAAAAATAACACTTTATTTTTCAATGTAGTCACCTTTTAATTCAACACACTTATTCCTTTTTGATTCCAAGGATTTTATTCCCTGGGAATGGAAGTTAACTTCTTGTCCATCATGCCAATCAGAAACGGCAACTTTCAGCTTTTCATCCCATGAAAATCTTCTCCCGCGCAAAAATTTTTAAATTGTCTGAACAGAAAATAGTCACTAGGAGCCAGATCCGGGCTGTAGGGAGGATGGTTGAGCTCCTGAAAGCCACACTCCCTCACTGCTGCCTCAACTTTCCATGATTTGTGGACGGGCGCGTTGTCATGGAGAAGAAGGACCCCCCTTTCCTCTGCGTTTTTCCTCGATGGCATCATGTAAATTTTTCATGGTGGTAGCATAGGAATCGCCAGTGATCGTACACTTGTCTGACATGAACTCAAGCAGCAGTAGTCCCTCTCTGTCCCAAAACACAGTGGCCATAATCTTTCCTGCAGATTTCTGAACACGAAATTTGCGAGGCGTTGGCGATCCCTCGTGCTTCCACTGCATGGACTCCTGCTTGGTTTCGGGATCCCAGTGATGAACCCAAGTTTTATCACCAGTTACTATTCTGGGGAAAAAAGTTTCCCAGATTTGTTTGGAAAACTCCAAGTTTTCCTTGCAGATATCAGATCTGTTCTTCTTCTGAGCTGGAGTCAGCATTCTTTGGACCCATCGAGAACTGACTTTGGACATTATTGACTCTCTTCCCCACTTAAACTGCTTGCTCCAAAATTTAACTTGGTAATAAGAAGGCGAAGACACATCATAAACGTTAGGCATACGTTCATGAATCTCCTTAGGTGCTTTCCCTTCTTTGGTGAGGAATTTGATCACTGAACGATGTTCAACTTTCGTCAAATCCATGGCACAGACTCAGGAAAAGAAATGTAATGCGCTACCACTTTGAACGGACTTGAGCCACTGAGCTGGTATAGTGGTGGGGCACTCACGAGACCTGTCGAGACATGTCACAGCAGGCCCAGGCCTGTTGCTCATCCCTTTCATATTCAGGTAGATAACTTATTGAGTGGCCCTCGTATTTGTTTACGGCAGTGGTGGTCGCTCTTACATAGCCCCTAAAGGGACATTTAACCTACTAGGGAAAATAATTTACACGTGTGGCTTGATTTGATTAATGGATTTTCGCGAATTGGCTCCGTTCATCCCCTGGAACAACTCGGAACAGTTAGCTTAGCCGCACGTGAATCAGACTTCCCCTTGCAAAACGTTCACTGCCTCTCCACCTGATCGAACAACCAGGTGGACGTCTGGTGGAAATCCACCTGTCCATTCGCGCACATGCATTTCGAAGCAGGTAGAAATTCCCTCCCATTGCAGGAGTTTCCTCATCCGTTCCCACAGAGGAAAGTCCCACTGACGAAAAAACTGGCATATGGTACCAAAAGATGACTCTTACTCTGTGACAGGTCTACACCTGCCTCATTCCATTAGAAGGATTAGGGAGTGCCTTTCTGAGTCATTGATATAAGGGAATCCCCAGTCGTTGACTTCTACATGTATACTATCAGGGACGTTGATTCACACACGCACATTCGTTTTCCTTTCCTTTCTTCAAGGAAAATCTTCCAATGTGTCTTTTTTCTTCGCCTCATGAAAGGAGTTCATAGCGGATCTGTTCACAGGGAATTCAGCGAAAGAAAAATCGTCCAAAATATGCGCAGCCTACAAAATGATATTGCCATTGACCATAGGAACATGATCCCTATGATTCCAAAGGTGTTTCCACGATATATTATTACTCCATGATGAATAGTATTCAGAACACAAGCGTTTAAACGCGCCAGAAAAAATGTCACCCTGTATATAGACGCTCGCGACTGGCTGACTGAAGCGAATTCTCGCCAATACACCAGTACACTTAGAATGCCTTTTCTCAGGGAACTTCTTCAAATATATATATATATATATATATATATATATACATATTTACCTCAAACGGGAAGTCATTGAAAGCGACGACTTAGCATTTGCGTGGCTGCTGAGATATTGATTTCATTCAAAAATGTTATATTTCGGATTCGGTGTTTGGCAGTTGTGCTTTTTTGTGCTCTGCTTGTTTGCTTGTTTGTTTTAGTCAATTGTGAAAAATTTAAGCTGAAAGAAAATATGAACACTTACTTTTATGGCGATGAAAAATGATGAAAAAAAGATGGCAAGTAATCAATGCCAATTCCACATTTTTTTGGAATTTTTATTTGAAACTTGGCACACAAGCCCTAATTGAGTGAGCCTGTGTCTACCAAATGTCATCAAAATTGGCCACATTCAATCACATTGACTTTTTACAAAAAATGATCGCTTTGTTTTTTTTTGGCTCATCCTGTAGGTCTTAAGATACCGATTTCGAAGGAAATTATACTCTTAGGGCAAATCCCCTCAGAGCACACATTACCTATGGTGAGGAATTTTTATATTTCGTTTTTAGATGCGTAGCAAACAGAACATTGGCATCCAAGCATCTATTAGGATGGGGAGTGGAGTTCCTAGAAGGTATCAATGGAGAAGAAGTGGCAGGAATAATGTATTCGTAATGAGGAGAATTAATTAAGAGTAGGGGTGAATGGAACCACAAACTGCTGCCAGAACACGTGACTAATCCGAGTGAGCCATACAGCCTTGACCTTGAACTTCGGGTCTTTGCATCTCCTTTGCCTCCATGACGGATTCAAGGGTCATGGTCGGGGAAGATTGAAGGGTATGATTTGGATTCGAAGCACTGTCGGACATTTTCGGAGAAGAGCTTTCATTGCATAAATTCCTGAAGGGGAATGACCCACTGACAAAAAAAATACAAGGAAACAAAAGAATAATCAATTATACTTCATGATATATCTGCATGACGTCATGCCCTTTCAAGGTCATGGGAGTGTCTCTGCATGTCCTTGATTTTGGGAAATTCCAGGTCCTTGACACCTATACTTATGAAGTAAATTATGTGAAGTATACCAGCTTCATTCCAATTTTAAATTTGTTTTTCTGACAGAATCACTCGATCAGCATTTCCGATAGGTCTTTTTGTATCATGAAACATCATATGGTCACTCCCTATGAAGTCGAGGTCCTTTTCCTGCTGATATGGGCAGTTCCAGCGTAATGGGGACAAAAGTGGTCAAGAACTGATTTACAGAAAGCGGGTGTACAGACTCTGGCCTGTACTTAATGAGGAGATTAGGCTTTTTCTTCACGAGCGCCGGGGACACAGTTCTTGCCTATTTCATTCAATATTTTCCGGACAAGTGAGCAACACCTAAGTTCCTCTGAAATCGTGGAACATTTAATCCACAGTTCAAGCATGTCATTCGAAAATGAGGTTTTTACTTTCCAGTCCTTACTAATTTGTTACCCTTGTGAGAAATGACCACATATCCGTGTAATTAAGAATGAGAGGGCATTATACTTTTTTCATTTGCTTGCAGTAGTGATGATATTGATCTATAAATATTCTCAGAGAAATATAATGAATTCACTTTATTTTCAACTGCTTATCCATGAATCCCAACGCCATTTAAGAATAATTAGGGGAAAGAAGTTTTTCTTGTTTAGATGTTTCTCTAAATGCCTACACAAAATATTCTTCGAAACATGTATAAAATGCAACTATCCACATAACTCAAGCGAATGGAAAACCTAAATGTTTAATTTCCTCCGGGGAACACTCTGCTGTCATCCGTTCAACTGCTTCTTCAGTCGATTCAATTCTGAATCTGAATTCAATTTTGAATTGCTTTTCAGCAAGTAATTTTTTCATGCCATGGAGCATGTAAATTCCCGACGGGCAGATGACTTGATGACGATATCCCACTGACCCCAGGCTAGGATGTGACGATTATCATGATGCAAGAAATAAATACGAACTGATGCACTGCTGACTTATCAAGTGAAACTTTGGACTTTATTCTCTTTGCTTGCAGGAAACAGGGGCTCGGGAGCATTTGCAACGGTGAGGACAACTTTTGACTAGTGACCTCGGCATGAATAAAAAGGAAAGGCTTCTGATTAAAAGCTCCATCCCTCTTTGACTTGCCTCGTGCTCAAAAAACATGATGAACAATTCCTCCATTTCATCACCGATAGTGTCAAATGGATCAAAAATCCCCCATGACCTTCTACCTTTGGATTTTGTGCATGTATGCATATTACGTCTGGGCCAGAGGTCCCAGCAACATGTTCTCAATGCCTTTCAGGAAGTTCAGCATGGTAGGAGTTAGTCCAAGTGTGCATTCCTATGTCTTCTTGTGTTTCACAAAGGGTCGAGATGTACAGAACAGGTTCAAGCAAGAAATCACCAAAATATTAAGGTACTGCCACAATCTCATGATGATGAACATTGCGCAGTTGGTCGTTTCATCAGTTGACGAATGCCAGAGGAAAACGTCTCCCATGCCTGAATCTGGCATTCTGGCACCCTTGGAAAGTTTTGGGGTTTTGAGATTCTCACTCAACTCTGCTCTGTGCCTGTCAGCCTGTACCAGGCAAGTAAATGCATCAACGGGAGTTGTCTGAGGGCAAGAAGGAAAAGCAAATAATTAAAAGATCATCCACTCGATGAATGTTTCTTTTGAGGAAACCACCAGTTCTCCAGTTCAAAACTGGTTTCTTCCTGGAAATGATATTACCCATTTTGGGTTATTTTGCTAGTTTCAGAGAGTATATACAGATGTATTGCACTCTATCTCAGACATGTCATATCCAAGCCTACATTTTGTTCAAATTATTAGACACGACTCTGGCTCCATCCTATCCTTTCTATGAAAAAAAAGCAAGTGGTAATACCCACCATGACCATAACATAGCATAATAATAGGCAAGCAGCTGCCAGCAGAACATAGCGAACTAGGAGAACGCCGAAAAGCTAAGCCTTCAAATGACTTCTTCAGATGATAGAGGTTTCAGCATAGCTAGTAGAGCCGGTAGCAAAAAAGAAACGCCCATGATGAGATTCTGAAACTTGGTACACGAAAAGCTATTAGATTGCTGATTTTAGAAAATTGCCAACTTTTAAGATACATGCCCAAGGGGCAAAAAAACTCGCTAGTTATACATGTTAGGAGATTTATATGCTAAGAAGAATGTGTCGACCATAGAATATATTTGAATTCACTATAGGAACACTAATAAACGCACTGTGAAAGTTTACATGGGAACCCTATGCTGGAAGTCACATTACGTCATTATTAATATTTTGTACTAGCGAGATTGTTTGCCCTTCGGACAAACAAACTCGCTATGGTCGCGCCTTCGGCGCTCCATTACCTTGGATAGTGATTAATTCCTTCACTTTCTTGCGAAATGGGAAACACGTATTTAAAGTACGTCCCCATTGAAATACATGATATATGGGGTCGAAAGTCTTAATTTTTTTATCAAAACAAAATTGATAAAAACATTTTTAAAATCAATTTTCAAAACATCGCCCACGAGAAATTCCCCCTGGGGAAGTATCGAGACTTAACATGTTTATTTAACTCTTTGTCTCATTAGTCACATTCATGCAAAGTTTCAGCTTTCCTCGTTCAATAGTTTAACTGATGCAAAAAAAAAATTAGTTGAGAACATCTCCCTTTGAAATTTGTGCCCCCAGGGCATTTACTTCCAAAGTTTGAATTTTTCTGCAGCATCCCAATAGGTAGTTATGTACCATGTTTCATCTTTCCACTCTAGCTCAAAAGGCTAGGACAAAAAGAAATATCTGAAAACGTGGGCTCACAAAAATATGCCCCCACAGGGCATGGATCTAAAATGTTTCATTTCTCCTGAACTCATCGTCTCGGTAGGCACGCCCATGCCAGGTTTCAGCTTTCCATGTCTCTCCGTTTCACTCAAGGAAAAATAATGTTATGGTGGGGGAATGAGTAACTGGACATGGAAGGCAACAAAAAAAAATTAGCCAAGGAATGGTCGGGAATTGTACCCTTACCTTCTGATTGGCAATTAATGATGCTACTATTACACCACCGAATCCAGGAAATCCAGTTGTCTCTCTAAATGCCCTCCTCATCTGTCACAAAATATATTTAACCCCTTAACTGGGAACTTTTGAACGCATATGTGCGGTGATTCCATTGAGAGAAGGCAGGTGCCAGACCGCACATATACGGCGAGTCCATTTAAGGGGTTAAGGAAAACTTTGCCCCCAAAGTTTGTAACCCCTGGGCATGTACCTCCAAAGTAGGATATTTTCTGAACTCTGCATCCCAAATGGTACATGTGTACCAAGTTTCAGATTTTTAACCCTACTAGAACATGGTTAGAATTAGCGTCAGTCAGTCACAATCGTCTATATGCATTAGATGATCCAGTGAGCTTTTTAAGACATAAAAACCTTATGGAGTTCTTATAACATCCTATGGGATCCTCCAGTATCTTTCCCGTAAGGGTAATTATGATTCTTGCTATTTCAGAGTCATTCCATGCCAACTCAACCAGGCATTGCGCTCGAACATCTCTGATTTAGTGATAAATATTCTCAACGTTCTCTGCCAATTCCCTGAAAATCTGCCAATTCCGTGAAATTTATATTCAATTAATGACACCCTTATCATGCCAGAAAACTTGCGATTCCACTTAATCCGATTGCCCTTATCTCCTCTAATGGTTTCTCTGGATGTAAATATCGATAAAAAATGTCCCATTTGGGTTGCTTTCCTCGGGATTTCTATTCTTGCGCGCTTGTGCTCTCGAAATTTTTTGCACCAATGGAAATATTGGCAGATGAAATGAATAATTCCTCAGATCCTGCTGGTATACATGCACGATTGTGAATGTGCATTTCTCATCACATATCTCTCCACGATAGAAGGCGGGGAATCGGTAAAAAGGTGTGGGTGATGTGCTTAGGAAGCACTGAACATTTCAGTTTTCTTCTCAAGTGGCACTTTTTTTTTTGCGGGGCGACGTCTTCCAATATGCTTTTTCGTTCTAGTGAAACTTGCAGAGCTTTCGCTCGACAAGTCGTTTTCACAATGATGAATGCCGGATGAATCTTAACTCTGAATCTTAACATCTGAGTTAAATGTGACTTTTGGGACGATCCCTCTGGCGAACAATTCGCTTCGCCAGGGGGTTCAATGGTGTCAAGTCCCAGTAATTTTATTTTCACTCTGCACGCCATTCTTTGATATTTGGTGGAGGAAAAAACGGAAATAAAGAAGAAGCATAAAAGTGCTCACATAAAGCAACATTTTTTATTACGGAGTACATGAAGTAACATGTAAGAGGCGAAATAGGAAAATTCCAGACCAAACCGATGGGTTCTCTTATATTTAGTCCAATATTCTTTAAGCAGAAGCAAAGCGCATCGTACAAAGCATTCTGAGGAAGAGTCAACGTAGTTTTGGTCAGGGGATCGTTACGCCCCAAATTACTGTATACAGGCCCAAATATGAGATTTCCTCACCTTTTCTCAAAGCAGGATGGAATCTTGAATTGATTTTTAGTGTTTCGTAAAATATGTTGACAAAAGCTTACAAAAAAGGGTTTTCTTTGAAAAAAAATTGTGTAAGAGAATATTGGTTGCTATTCCAATGCCTACTATTTGTAAATGAAGAAAGAACAACCTTTTATTTTGAAGATCACCATGTTCAACCTATTGCCTGAGGTGCTCATCCAGAATTTACACAAGGCTTGTTATCGAGAACGATGTTCTATATCGAATTTTTTTAGCCGAACCTGTTCCAAATTTGTTGAAACCTACGGTAGGAAAAACTCGGCAAAATATATCTCCTGAAGAAAGTTCTATCCCAAAAGCCTACCGGGCTCCTTCTCTTCCTCACTCTGGTGTCACGTTTTCGCTGCATGTTCATGTAATTTACGAAGGGCAGGGCTGTCTCCTCCTCCCCGTAGTCGTTGGGACGGCCTCCGTATACGCTTTCGCGTATGATAGATCCCTTGGATCGCCCTATTCCAGAAAAGATTATGTTACCGAACTTCGAGCGCATTCTTAGCAGACAACGGAGCTTATTTGACGTTTTAGGATATATTCTCGTACCGTCGTTCCATCCCTTTTGGACATTGCTTCCATTTTCCCTTTCTGGACGATCTCCCGAAGGTCTTGAACTTGACTCATCCGATCCGTCGCAGCAGTCCGTAGTTGTAAAATCACTTCCTTTCGCGGGATCCATGAAAATGGTGGGAGGATTCTTGACGCCGTCGTCTTCGTTCGCCTCAGGCCAAATGATATTGGCGTTCCCTGGGTCGAGGGTGACTTTTCCTCCTCGATGGTCTTGACCGTCGGTCGAGAATGAGGATCGCATGATGGGATTGAACCTCAAAGGCGCCTCAGAAGAGAATATAACAGCTGGGCTTCCCGTTCCCGGAGAGGAAAAATCATGATACGGAAGAATTTCCGCGCTGTTGAGCATAGCTGTCCCGAGGAACAATACCTGTAAAAAGAAGTCAAGGTCGAATAAAAGAGGGACATGTCAGATAGGCTGGGTTTTCAGTAAGTTGATGATTTTTTCATGCGTTTCCGTAGATACTAAAGGATTGATCAGGATAGTCTACTCCTGAAGAATGCCATTTCTTAAAATCTCGAATGTTGAAACAAAACGACACTGTTAAAGTTATTAACCAATTCACCTACAACATAATTTCCATGCCTTTGTACGTATAAATGAAATTTAATATGGCTGAAAACCAATCTTAAAAAGGGACACAAACTCCTTTTTTGTGAAAAATGCCAAACACAATTCGAAGATCTATACATGAAGAGATAGGGAATCCGTGCGATCTAGACTGCAACTGTTGAATAAGAGAAATATTCGGCCTTCGGCAGCCGGATGGCTACATGCCGTTAAAGTAGTTTGTGTCCTAAAGGAGGCAGCAAGGTCTGACAGCCGTCAAAGTAGGTCAATGGGTTTAGCGTAACTGCATTCCACAAGGACTACAAGAAGTTAAAACATAATTCCATTTAGCTCATTTCCCTCCCTTTCTTTATTGTCGTCTTGAGGGGCCTTCATGGATCCCTGGTCTTAACTTTTCCCTCACAATTTTTTTAAATAATTAAATAACAAGAGGCCCTTCAGAATCTTTGCATGAAAATCTCGTCGAACTATAGGATACTAAATGGTGTGACTAAAAACGTCAATACTGTTCCGTGGGAATAGTACAAAACATCATATTGAATTTTTAAATACAGGGTACATACATTGATTGAACCTACTAAAGAGCAGGTAAAAATTCTGATTCAGGTAAGAATTCTCTCGATTACCTGCTCTTTATTTGGAAGGCTCAACAGTAGTTTATTTCCATGTGGCAATAATGTGCATTACTGCAGGTGAGAATTCTGATGTTATTTCTCATGAACTTATAGCTTGAGAAGCTTTGAAGTGAGAGTTGCATGGACATCAGTGCGTTTATAATATTTACTATTCCATCAGAATCACAATATTGTACACGAAGTCTTCAATTAAAACTGCTTACAGGATGAACCCCGCAACGAGAGAAAAAAAAGAATGACTCAATCACGGCAAAAATTACAATCCGCGACTTCCCGGGGATGAATGGCACTCACCACCAGAAGCAGATCACTCAGATAGCCCATGATAAAGTAGAATCACCCGTCCCCAGCAGACAAACTTCGAGGAAAGGGGTCTCAGTCATCCACACCCGAGCCATCCTTCAACGAGCATTTATATCGTCTTCACTCGTCCGCCCTCCTCCCCCCTATTGGCGGATGGGATGAGCCCCAGCCAATGAACAAATTGCGCTCCACCGTTCGAGAGCGAATCGGGTTGCGGATACGATTGAAGCCAGCGATTCGCATTTTCTTCTGTGCTGTATAGAGAAGTTAACGCTGGTTTACGTCAACTAAACATACTCATAAATCGCGAGAGCTTCTGTGTACTTGGACGTGCTTTCGCAAAACGAAGGTCACGTTTTCTTGAAGATCGACAGACAAACCAAAGCAGCCAAAGCTTTAAAATAATATTCCCCCAACTTTAAAGCGAAGCATGATACTTTGCTCCAGGCATAGGATTCTTTCGAATGATACGTAGGGCACAAAGTTTCGTGCCGATTTTTATAGTGTTTCGGCTGATGTGATACTTAGCGGTCACTTCAGCTCAATTCATTCAAAGGGCAGTAGTTCCACATCATGGACTTTTCCTTTGTTTTTTTCCCTCTCAAATGAATGGGAATTGCCGAACGGGAAATTAATGGGAAACGGGTATTACCTAATGGGAAATTAATGGGAAATCGAAATTACCTAATTAGGTAATTCCCATGACGCGCATTCTGACGTCACGAGTGTTATTGGATAGACAACAGCAAGAAAGTAAAAGTATCCACGAATTTAATAAAATCGGTACACAAGGCCAAGTGTAATATGTAGAATACGGGTTTTGAAACGACTGAGACACAGCCCTGCCATCTGGCAGTCACTCGAAGAAACAAGGTTTCCAGGAGAGAATCGCCGCACCGCGGTGGTGAATCATCTCCCGGGCGGGTGCGAGAACTCCTGGAGGAAGATGCGATTCGAGCTTCGAGGAAAGAGAGGCGATTTTCCGCCTTAATCTTATACCAAACGTAATTCTTGACTCTAGACGTCTCCCTTGACTCTAGACGTCTCCCTTGACTCTAGACTTAAGACCCCAGATGTCTCTAGACATCAAGTTCGCGGGGAAATAATTGTTTTCACCACGCCAAGAAGTTCGCCAGAAACGAATGTTTCGCCCGACGTCGCCTTCTTAGAAAACGATGACGGAATCACAGCTTTTTCCTATTATTTCGGCATGCCGCTGTAAATTATTGGCAGCGAGCATAATCGTCTCAAAGTGGACCTAAATGTAACAATCAAAATCCTAGCCGGTAAGACCAACTCTATTTGCAACCCTATTTGCAACCATATATGAAACCATATTTGCAACCCTATTTGCAACCATATATGAAACCATATTTGCAACCCTATTTGCAACCATATATGAAACCATATTTGCAACCATATTTGCAACCATATATGAAACCATATTTGCAACCCTATTTGCAACCATATATGAAACCATATTTGCAACCCTATTTGCAACCATATATGAAACCATATTTGCAACCCTATTTGCAACCATATATGAAACCATATTTGCAACCCTATTTGCNATGCGGTGCCTTCCACGTGCAGCGCCAGGGCCACCTCGAGAAGGCCGGATGAGAAGGTGGTGTCGTACAGTTTCTTCGGATCCCGGGGAAACGGCGCCAGGGCGAGAGCTGCGTATGAAGCACTCGTGCCCAAGGTTTCTAAAAACGTCAAGGAACAATACCCAGGTCATTCGAGCCTCTTATCATTTCCACCGGAAAAGGAACCGATCTTTTTGACGACAAAAGTCAATACCGACCGGTATTGAATTCCTCATTCAAAATATTCCCATTCAATTTGAAGTACTCATATTCAAAAACATGGTATCGGCATTTATTCCGGATCTGGACTCGTCATAGATCTATTCTCTTGCTTGTAGACACAGGCATTCTGATGATTTAAGCTCACCATATTCAAACTCCTCCAGGAATTTCTATAACAGATGCTTCTGGACGATAATGAAAATTCCAAGTGAAATACTGCTGAGTCTCACTTTCTGTGTCAAGGATATCCTTAAAAGCTAATCAAATAATGTACAGGGTGGGCCAAAAGTCACACCCCATAGGGTTTACAATCGAATCATGTTTATTTTCAACTGCTTATCCATGAATCCCAACGCCATGAACTCAGAGGAATACCCATGGTGACGTCACACGGCAGTCGGCCAAGAAGAGAAGAAGTGGTCAGAATAAAGAACCTCTTCCCCTCCTAAGGGAAAGGTCAAGGTCAAGGTCGAATCAAGGTTGGCTCACTGCATCAATGCCATGATCCGACTCACTCGTGGGTCAAGCTCCTCTTTGCGTTGACTGCTGATTGCATCATCAAATTCGGAAGCATGAAAGCCTCATTCCTGCGGTTGAGATGGAAGGTGTGTGCGTTCCATGGCGCGCACACACCTTCCTCATGAGGAAGGTGTGTGCGTGCCATGCTTCTCTCATCGAACTATGAGCTTCATCGTTCCATTTTCCAAAAAAGAAGCAGGGAAGCTAGCGGGAGAATTTCAAAGAATTGGTGGGATCGTAATGCATCGAAATGCATAAGCTGAGTGGAAATGAAGTGAGACATTACACGAAGCGGTGTGCCGATAACGCACCTGTTGTTCGCAAGATTAAATGCGGAGAAAGCTCCATTTAGTGGCGTGCGTTATAAACGATTTCCTTTGTGAGTCCCTGATGGAAAAATCCTGCAGGATCCTATACGATTTTTTATACATAAAAATATCATGGGATCCTTTAGGATCTTTTCATGAGGGTTCGGAATCGGAATCGGATGGCTGTTTGAAATTCGAACGTTGTCCCTTGAGACTGAACTTGTTGAAACTTGTTTGCTGCGCATTTCCTTCATGATTGTAACCGTTGATTTTGTTACAAAGGGATACTGAGGATCTCTGCTGACGGGAAATTTCCCCCATCAGACACATAGGTTTCCGAATTCAGACTGTCTCATCTGGATATGAAGTAATGTGAAAACCACATTTCAAAGGCTTTCCCTTTCTTCAACCTCAACCTCAAGCTCAACCCCTACTCCCATCCTTCTCGACAGGACTCATTAAGGTTAGGCCAATGCCTACCTTTTTTTTCCAAATAAACTAAATCCTCAATTAGGTCTGATCTTCGCGTCATCTCGTCGAGGACGTGTAACGTTAGGCCAATCGCAAGCCCATTCACTCTCTCGCGACCCATTTCAGAAATGACGTGTAACGTTATTCAGAGGCACGATTCGCGCTTCATGAACAATTTCAGTGCGAATATGTGGAACATGAGGCCTATCTAGAGTTCATCGAGCCATCTCGGCTAGTTCGGAGGAGAGAGTGCCTCTAGGAAGCATGAAATACAAGCTGGGCGCCATCCCGTTGATTTTGGGGATGTCCGGACGAGATGACGCCAAGAAGCATGAAATACAAGCTGGGCGCCATCACGTTGAAGTTTGGGGATGTCCGGACGAGATGCGTCCACATCCCGCCAAATCGATCGGAGCTCGTCTCGTGAACTCCGAAATATCTAATGAATAAATAAAAAACCGAAGGTCCAGATGCGGATAGTAAGGCGGAAGAAGTCACGAATCGGGCATAACTTCGGCACGATATCCGGCAACACTGAAGGGCGAGACCGGAGCCAAGAGGCTAAAACTGAATGTAACGCGAAAGGGCATAGAAATGCCATGACGTAGTAATATGTAGAATCAATATCATCGGTAGAATAAATAATAATGTAATTGGTAGAATCGACTCCTAATATGGGAGGAAATGAATTAAGAGACTGCAGGCAGACAGTTTGCCTCATGCTAATAAAACATCTGCCCTCGAACCTGAACTTCAGACTGCCGTGTATTGTCCCTCCGGCTCCATGTCCGATGCAAGGGTCGCGGTCGGGGAGGCTGTAATTCTGTATGTAATTCTGTAATGTAATTCTGTAATTCATGTAATTCTGAATCGTTCGAAATGCTGCAGGAGCCTCCTAACACGAAAGGAAAAAAAAAAAACTGACGAAAAAACTAGGAAAACGGAACAAAAAGAAGATGATTCATGCTCTGCCGTCTCATTCCGCTTGGAGGCGAAGGGAGTGCCGCTCTGCGTCCTTCATTGCGGGTAATTCCCATGAATACCCTTTTTGGGCGTTGACTCAGACCAGCAAATTTGATTTCTTCCGTTTCTTTGAAACAGAAACTTGCCATTCATTCTCTTAGGTTCCAACGTGTCATTCTTCGTCTCATAAAAGGATCATCCCTCATAGAGAAGACGGAGAAAGTAAAATCGCCTAAAAATAGGCGTCCGTCAACAAACTAACGCCTTTAATCAATTATGAAATATTAGGCTCATTCCAATAAATCCCAAGTGTAGAATCCAATAAGATTTTTATAAGATTCCTATAAGATTCCTATAGGATTCCCATAAGATTTTTATGCTTCAATAATCTCATATGATCCTACGGGATCTTTTTCGTAAGGGCAGATTTGGGCCGGACTCGGCAGGGCATTGCTCGCACAGTTTAAAATCCCGGCTGGAAACAGCTATAATTTCCAGCTGGACTCCAGCTGGAAATTCGGACGCATTCCAACTGGGTTACAGCTGGGAAGTACTAATCTCCAGATTTATTGTGAATTGCTTATCACTCGCTAAATGAGAATCTTTTTTTGACTATTTTTTCAGAGGTTCATCAACAAGAACAGGTGATTTTCAGCTGTAAATGTAGCTACATTCCTGGTGTAGGGTCCTCTTCATAAAATTTCAACAGGAAAATTTCCAGCTGGAAACAGCTATTAAAACCAGCTGCATTCCAGTTGGAAAATTCCATTTGAGAAATAACTGGTACCTACTATTCTCCAGTTCTTTGCCAGCTGGAAACGGTCCGAATTTACAGATTTGGTCCAGCTGGAATATTCCAGTTGGGATTTTAAACTGGGCACCTAAGCACCTATGCTAATTTTGCTAATTGCTAATTGAAGGGTCCCATGCTCCCACGATGAGTTAGGGGTCAATTCCTGAGTCGGTCGCCAAGTTTGCTTTCGTACAGGCTCCGCACGGAAACC